CCCCCCCCCCCCCCCCCCCCAAGATGACGATCACTTCTACATTTGTCTCCTTTACCTGGTGAAGATCGGCAGCAGCCAGTACTTCTTCTGGTCTCCAAAGACCTGAGCGATATTCTTCCGGAAACCAAGAGAGAAGCCGTTCTTATCCGAGCCCGTCCTAAAGACTGGTGCTCTGAACGCCTCTGCAGACACACGCATGGACAGAGAGGACAAACACACCGGCCACTAAACAACCAACAGGTGAACTTCCACTTGATGAGAAAGGAAAGGAACTTTGGGACAAATTGTCATTTTAAAAAGTGGAAATTAATTTTCTTGAACATCACAAATTTACAACTAAAACACTAATGAAACCTCTTAAAAAAAAAAAAAAAAACAGTAATAATTGTGTTGTATGCATGTGTTGCATGTGTTTGTTACCTATAGTGGACCTGTTCTTCCCGACAAGCCACAGGTGGTAGCTGAAGAGGGACAGAATACTGATGCAGAACATGGCCGCCACAAAAAAGAGAAACAAGACATGGAATTTGGCTTGAGTGTCTGGCAGCTCATTCTGGGGGAAGAGACGGGAGAAAAGGAGAGCGAGATGCGAATCAGTGACGCGTTCACGCGGAGGATATTTACGGCGAGAAAGGAAATGAGAGGGGTCTCACGTGAGCCACACCACTGCACGCACATCACGACAAAAAAACATGGCAACGATGGGGGGGGGGGGGGGGGGGGGGGGGCATAGCTGGGTTTACCTTTGGGCAGTTCTCTGCCGATTTCTTCCGGCAAAGCTTTAGTACAAACAGAAACGAGACTGGTTAGCAACACCAGAAGAGATCAGGTGGGAGGGAGGGAAAATCAGTAGGCAAATACAAGTCAGGGGGGGTGAAAAACAGAGAGTGGGTGAAGGCACAAAGTGCACCCAGAATTGAAAGAAGAAAAGGATGAAAGAGGAAGAGATGAGAGGAAATCAAAGTGGTACAGCAACAGAAAAAGGAAAAAGAGAGAAGGAGGTGTTTGCCACTGAATAAGTGGTGTGACTGATGATCACCGATAGCGGAGCAGAAGACAGAGAACAATGACCCAGTGTGTGAGAACCGGGGCTAACAGAGAGGGGTCAGAGGGGGAGAGTACAGGGAAAACAGCAGAGCGGTACAGCTCAGCACAGGGGAGGTCAGCACCACGCACAACCCACTCAGAGGATGCTCGCCCGGGCTTCGACATGCAAAAACCTGCATCCTCATTCACACTCAGCGCGCCATTACTCACTGTCCAGAACTTTATGAAATATTGCAGTACGGTGGCCGCGATGAACAGGCAGTACACCAGCGAGTAAGCCAGGAAGAGGATGAAATACTTGTAGTTGGAGAATCCGACGCAGTTGTTCACCCTAAAGAGACGCACAAATGCAGACAGGTCGGGGTTTGACATCGCTTCCTCCGGGTAGAAATCTTATCAACCTGAACTTTCAATTTTTTTTGATATAACAACCAGAGTAGAAGGCTCTGTGGCCTTCTTGTATATGGTTCGTCTAAGACTCGTAATACGGTATGTTTTGCCACCTTAACAAGACCAGAAAAGTGAAAGTAAAGGGATTTTAAACAGCTTGATGGCCATGTTGCAAATATGCTTGGCATGAGCTAAAATCAAAAATTGTGAGATGTCACAAAGTACGGTATATCTCTCTGTTTAACAGGTCTTACATACCAGGGACAATGGTGGTCCATCTTCAGCACACACCTGCCCCACACACACACACACACACACACACACACACACACACACACACACAC